CTTATTTAGAAAATAAATAAGAGTTCTGCTCCTAAAATTGACTTAGTTAAAATATACCTTCCATAATAACAGTGCAATAAACCATTCATATTGTTCACACATATAAAAAGAAATCTAATATACACTAATAAACATATATAAAAGGATTTCTGATTTATATACTTTAGGTATGGTGTATTACCTTTTGAAGAATTAAGATGAAAGATATGCAATTTTATTTATCACATTAAGCTATAAAGGTCTAAGAGGCAATAAAAGCTGAGTATGAAAGACGTGTAAAAAGTAAGGATACATTTTTTTTCCTTTTCAGTATTAAACTGGAGTCCCAGTTTTGTCGGTAAAGCAAGTAGATAGATTGATTCCAAGAGCTCAGGGTCATCAAAAGAAAATAACATTCCATATTCACTTTACTCTTTCTCCTCTCCTTGCAAGGAGAGTAGCACCATGGAACAAGACATAAGATCTAAACCAGTTCTCTGAATCTAACAACCTTAATAAGTTTAGGATGAGGTGAAGTGGGTTTTTTCCCTCAATTTTAACAAATTTTTAGATGCATTTAAGAAACTACTGAGCAAACAGTCCACGAAATGTAAACAAACAATTAGATGTATTTGGTGAGCAACATTATTTTTTATCATTCACATTCAATTAAAAGAAAGTCCATACTTCATTGCTTAGAATCAGAATTACACTCCAAATCAGAAACACTATGATAGTCTTATTTTTAGTGATTCATATATAACTGAAGTCTCAAGACTACTTTTAGATACAGGAATCACTTAAATCCTCCAAAGCAAATCAAACATGAAGTCAAGGGCACTGAGTACAAAAATCCTTCTATGTCAGACTTTCTTCCAGTTCCATCATGCTTCCTATCAGCCCATTTCCTTCCCTATATATCCTTGACTTCTAACAGATACTCTCTGTTTTGCAGAACCCACTGTTAAAATTAACTGGAGCTTCCAGTTTTATTCAGAGGTAAAGGACTTTACTCCTATAACTTGCCCTTCATACCTTTTGTGATTCTCAATTAAAGGAGAATATTTTGACCTCAATTATTTAATTTTCTTTAGTTGCATAATATTCATAAATCTTTCAATGGAACAGGATTATTTTTACAAGGAGGTACAAAGTAGAGTGTGAAATAATCAAAGAATGCACATACATGCCTCCCCAGCAAATTAAAAAGACATAACTTACTGAACACTAACTAAATAATGAGTGCTTAGTACTGCAAGGTAGAGAAGAAACTGAAGTTAGAGTTCCAGTCCTCAGGAGATTACACTTTGTCAGGGAAAAAAGCCAAGTTATTACAAAAGAAACAATGATGTCCATTTATGAAAGCTGTCCTCCCAGGAAATTACAAGTCCTCAATTACTTTTGAGTCCCCCATCTCCCTATATTAGATCAGTTACCAAGTTCTGCAGCTTCCATTTTTTATGCATTTATCCCTTTCTATTCCTACTACCAACTACCCAGGTCCAGAAGCTCATTATCACTTACTTGGACTTCTGTAAAATCTTTCTCATTTCCTGACAACAGACTTTGCTTCACACAGCTCTCAGAATGAGCTTTCTAAAATGCACCAGTTAGACTTGTATCCAGAATAAATGAAGAATGCTTATAGCTCAATAAAAAGAAAAAAAATTCCCCCAAATTAAGCATGTGATTTGGAAAAGACACTTTACCAAGGATGATATATGGATGGCAATTAAGCACATTAAAAGATGCTCAATATCATTAGTAAGGAATTGCAAATGAGAACCATTATGATATACCACTACACTCCTGTTAGAATGGTAGGAGGAAAATGTAAAAATTGACAATACCAAGTGCAACAAGGATACAGAGCAACTGGAACTCTTACACACTGTTGATGAGAATAAAAAAATAATACTACCCTTTGGGAAACAGTTTGGCGATGTCTTAGGGAATTAAACATTCACTCCATACATCAGCAGTCCCCAACCTTTTTGGCACCATGGACTGGTTTCATGGAAGACAATTTGTCCACAGACAGGGTGGAGAGGAGGGGAGTTCAGGCAGTAATGCGAGCGATGGGGAGAGGCAGATGAAGCTTTGCTTGCTCGCCCGCCGCTCACCTCCTGCTGTGCGGCCCAGTTCCTAAGGAACTGCCATACATGACCCAATGAACCCACTCCTACGTATTAATCCAAAAGAAGTGAAAACATGTTTCCACAAAAAACGTGTATGTTAATGTCTATAGTAGCTTTATATATACATAATCGCCAAAAAAATGAAAACCCAAATGTGCTTCAACTGGTGAATGGATAAACTAACTGTGGTAGATCCATACGATGGAGTATTACTTAGCAATAAAAAGGAATGAACTACCCATACACAAAACAACATGGGTGAATCTCAAATGCATTATACCAAGTAAAAGAAACCACACTCAAAAAACTACATAGCGTGATTGCATTTACATAAAATTCTGGAAAAGGTAAAATTATTGGGGCAGGAGACAGATTGGGTGACTGTAAGGGACAGGTGTGGGGGTGGGGTGGTGCTGACTCTAAAGAGGCAGAAGGAATTTTCCTGGGGTGGCAGCAGTGTTCTGCATCTGGATTGCAGTGGGGGTTACAAAACTATGAGCATGTGTCAAAACTCACAGAACTACAGACTAAAATATGTACATTTTACTGTAAATAAATTATGCCACAATAAAGTTGATTTAGAAAGGAAAAAAAGGAGGATCAGTGTTTCTATCAGAACAAAGTTCTAAGATAGAAAGAAACCCCTTCTGAAGAAACAAAAGCCCATAAGTTACTTCTCTATAACTGATGTCTTTCTAAACCAAAAAATGATGAGTGATTCAAAGGGAAATCTGAACAAGAAAACTGATAGACTCAACCTCTGATTCTTCAGAGAATACAGGCAGTCCAGAGACAACTTGTACACTGTGATTTGGGCAAGTGTAAAAAGAAAACGGGGATTTTTGTGTACTGTAAAAATCACGAGAGACAAACAAAAGTCTTTTAATTTTAATTCTTACACTTATCTTGGAAATTACCAGTAAGACGGCATATTCTACATACATACAAATCCTCTCTATTTGTACATTCGTTACTTTAAAGGTTATTTCTCTAATGTTTGGTTGTCCTTTGCTCATTATTTGTATCACTGCATTCTAATCTGGCTGCCTGGAGTTAAATTACTACCCTGCGAAGTTGTATCCCAAGTTCATTATAATTTCTGCTTAAGACAGCAAAAGAAATCGACTTGGATATTTTGGGTACCTTTCCTTTTTTGTTTTCAGTGAAATATTATTATTTAACATTTACTAAAAGGTAGTGTCAAGAAACATAATGTATTTAAACCGGAACTCACAAAAAACTTAACATTGATTTACATCAACTTTTCAGGGCCCAACATTTTCATTTGTACATGTTTTCCAATTTCCACATATAGTCACAAAATATATGCACAAAATAATTTATAAGTAATTATTTTAATTTGGAAGAGACCAAACAATGAAATCCTCAAGTAATTAAATCACTCAAACTTTACTTTTTTTTTTTTTTTTTTTGTAGTGTGTGGTACACGGGCCTCTCACCGTTGTGGCCTCTCCTGCCGCGGAGCACAGGCTCCGGACGCGCAGGCCCAGCGGCCATAGCTCACGGGCCCAGCCGCTCCGCGGCATGTGGGATCCTCCCGGACCGGGGCACGAACCCGTGTTCCCTGCATCGGCAGGCAGACTCTCAACCACTGCGCCACCAGGGAAGCCCACTCAAACTTTAAAATTAAACATTCTATCAGTAGTCAAGAGCCAAAATTATCCTTTAAATACCATACAGGCTTCCCAACTCAAATCCTCTTCAGATGTACACTTTCCTATAAAACTGCAATAAGCAAAGCACACAAGCACACTGCTCCAAATAACATAACTTTGGTGCCTAGAATCAGCTTAGGGTAGAGAAGCATTAAGGACAGAATTAGTCAGTATTCGGTCTAGTGGTCTAAGTATGGCTTGATTGCAAGCTAAGCTAAAAATTTCAAAGGGACTGCCAGATCTGTGGCCTAATAAGTCAATGCCCCTTGAAATTTATGCCATCTTATTGCTGTAGATTCACTAATGCTAAAATGATTCCAATAAACTGACAGATTTTATTTGTAATTTCACTTAAAACAGCAGAGCAATGTTTCAAAATCACTACAATAATGCTGATGATGTTAATATATATGAATCTGTTGGTGGTGGGTAATTCTTTTCCTCTTCATAGTGGTAGGTTGTGTTAATACAACAAGTTTTCTTCTATTGTTCACTAATGAGACAGTAATTGCCAACAGAATCCTACTGGGAATACAGACTTGCATAAATAATAGGCCTAAGGACAGGTTTTACATATCTATAATGATTCTCAGGTACATTTTGTTCTGCATGAACACACTAACACCGATACCTGTCCTTTCCTATGGAGGATAAACTCCATATCTTCAGAAATGTGCAAACAAGAGGAACAAATTTAACTAGGCAGATTTCAGGTTCTTCTTTCTAGCAACTAAATGGAAGAGAAATTAACAGAATGCTCCTTTTTATCAAAAACTTATTACCCTTTCACTAGAAGCCCTAAAAAGTTGCTATTTTAAAGTTTTCAATGCTTCAGTTAGAAACATAACTGGCAGCCTCAGTATGAGTTCCAATGAATGTACTGTAATGTAAAACTGTACATGTCACTTCAAATATTGGTTGTATAATAAGGAAGTTTAAAGAAGACATTTTAATGCATTGTTGGCTGACACCACTATCTTCTGAGTTTATTTAGGGTATAAAGATTTCTAGAAATTCATTTAAAATAATATTTTCTGGTGATGAACTACATTTGGCAATTATTGTCCACTGAGCCCTCAGGTACTCTACTGCTTCTAAACATGGTAGGTATCATTTACCATTCAGCAGGGAAATTAACAAAAGTTCCCATTTCCCATTCTTAGATTATAATCTTTACTAAACCCCAAATGAAATGTAAATGTAGTACCTTTCATGATGTCCCAAATCTGACAGAAATTCATCTGCATGTCTTTGGAGTTCATTTCCTTCTAAATTCTTTAATTTCTTCAACTCACTTTGTAGAAAAAACCAGAGCTCTTTAGCTCCATTTTCAATCCTCCTCCTTAGGACTTCATGATCCTTCCCAAGACCTGCAGTCAAAGAATAGAGAGCATCAGCATTTCCAACATTTTGATGAAAGGAAATTTTCAATTATTTGTGCTAATGTCAACATACTGAAGAGGAAAAACAATGTATCGTTACCTACCATTTCTAGTTTGCTTCTTATAATTTTCAATCTGTTCTTTGGCCTTCACAAGCTGCTCTTCTAAAGCACGAACCCTTCCTGAAGCTGGCCCCTGATCAATGGGGCCTTCTGGTATTCTGTAGTTCAAGGAAGAAAATGTAAACATTTAGCTTATAAATTATGCAACAAAATACATGTTTACTTTGCTAAAACATTATTTATTGGTAACTCTAGAAGTCACTGGACCATATCATATATTAGAAGTACCAAATGAAATTCTTCTCTCCAAAGCTATAGGGTAAGATGTAAACACTGGAATGAAACTGAACAAACACACAAAAAAAAATCCGGCTCATAGATGTATGATCTTCTAGGAATTAAGGAACCTTTAGAACTGTCTCCTAAAAACTTTCATCATACAACTTAGAATAACACCATCAGTGGCAAAGCGATCAATTCTTCATTAGTGCTGAGAATAACAAAGTTGAAGGAGAGGGCGACAAAAAGGCTTAAAAGGAGTAAGAAAGCAAATAACTGAACCTGTGTCTGTGTTCAAATAGCAAATACAAATTATTTCTAAATTAACTATAATATCAGATATAAATCTGTGTTCTGATTCATGAACTCATGACCTCAGATTACTAAGCATGGGTTTTATAAAGAAGGGAAAGACAAGGATAGAAGATGAAGTACACCAGAAAAAACACCTGAAGATTAATGTTCTGTTTACGTCAGGAATGGAAAAGATCAGTCAACAAGACAAAATGTTGGAATATAGCAGAGGAACACCAGGATCCCTTGCTTATATTATCAACCTGTACAGCTTCTTTCCAAACTGTCCTTGTTTCTAACATATTTTGTTTTTATGTGACTTTTGGCAGTATTCTGTACTCCATTATGGCCATAAAAGATATCCACATCCTAATCCTGTAACCTGTAATGCTACCTTAGGTGACAAAAGAATCCTTATATGTGTGATTAAGTTAAGGACACTGAGATAGGGAGACAGCCCTGGATTACCCAGATGGGCCATAATTGTAACCACAGTTGTTCTTATAAGAGGGGAGTAGAAGGAAATTTTATTATAAAAGAGGAGGAGGTGATGGGGTTAATTAGTTTTGAAGGTGGAGGAAGGGGTCATGACCAAAAAATGCAAGGAAGGCATCTTTAGAAGCTGGAAAAGGCAAAGAAACAGATTCTCCCCTAGAGCTTCTCTAGTGAATGTGGCCCCACTGACACCTTGGTTTTGACCCAGTGAAACTCATTTCAGACGTCTACCCTCCCAAACTGTAAAAGAATAAATTTCCATTTATTGTTTTAAGCCACAGAGTTTATTGTATGTGTTACAGCAGCAATAGGAAACTAATACATATATTTATATACATGCATACATATACATATATACTTTCTTCTTTTTTTTTTGCGGTACGCGGGCCTCTCACTGTTGTGGCCTCTCCCGTTGTGGAGAACTGGCTCCAGATGCGCAGGCTCAGTGGCCATGGCTCACGGGCCCAGCCTCTCCATGGCATGCAGGATCTTCCCGAACCGGGGCACGAACCCATGTCCCCTGCATCGGCAGGCGGACTCTCAACCACTGCGCCACCAGGGAAGCCCTACATATATACTTTTGAAAAAATATTAAGAAGATTAAATAATGGCTGATTTTTCTTCCAAAATCTATTTAAATGAGAAACTGCCACTAAAAGTACAAAGCACAGTGTCCATCAATAAAGCTTAACAGGAATATTGTATCTGGGGTCAGTCATTCTACAGATGAGCTGTAATATCAAAATGCCTGGGATATCTATTCTTACCATCACAATCACTTTTGGGAAACAATTTCTAAATTATACTTGGCAGAACTTAAACTTAGCTATCAACCTGAGGAGAAAACTAATACAAAGAGGGCAGACAGCAGAAGCAAGAAGAACTAAATCCTGCAGACTGTGGAATGAAAACCACATTCCCAGAAAGATAGACAAAATAAAAAGGCAGAGGGATATGTACCCAATGAAGGAACAAGATAAAACTCCAGAAAAACAATTAAATGAAGTGGAGATAGGCAACCTTCCAGAAAAAGAATTCAGAATAGTGATAGGGAGGATGATCCAGGACCTCGGAAAAAGAATGGAGGCAAAGATTGAGAAGATGCAAGAAATGTTTAACAAAGACCTAGAAGAATTAAAGAACAAACACCTAGAAGAATTAAATAACCAACACACAGAGATGAACAATATAATAACGGAAATGAAAAATACACTAGAGGGAACCAATAGCAGAATAAATGAAGCAGAAGAACGGATGAGTGACCTGGAAGACAGAATGGTACAATTCACTGCCATGGAACAGAATAAAGAAAAACGAATGAAAAGAAATGAAGACAGCCTAAGAGAGCTCCAGGACAACATTAAACAAACACACATTCATATTATAGGGGTTGCAAAAGGAGAAGAGAGAGGAAAAGGACCCGAGAAAATATTTGAAGAGGGAGTGGCACAATATATTAAAAGTGATGAAAGGGAAGAACCTACAACCAAGATTAATCTACCTGGCAAGGATCTCATTCAGATTCGACGGAGAAATCAAAAGATTTATAAACAAGCAAAAGCTAAGAGAATTCAGCACCACCAAACCAGCTCGGCAGCAAATGCTAAAGGAACTTCTCTAAGTGGGAAACACAAGGAAGAAAAGGACCTACAAAAAGAAATCCAAAACAATTAAAAAATGGTAATAGGAACATATATATCGATAATTACCTTAAATGTGAATGGAGTCAATGCTCCAACCAAAAGACACAGGTTTGCTGAATGGATACAAAAACGAGACCCATATATATGCTGTCTACAAGAGACCCACTTCAGACCTAGGGACACATACAGACTGAAAGTGAGGGGATGGAAAAAGGTATTCCACACAAATGGAAATCAAAAGAAAGCTAGAGTGGCAATACTCATATCAGATAAAATAGACTTTAAAATAATGAATGTTACAAGAAACAAGGAAAGACACTACATAATGATCAAGGGATCCATCCAAGAAGAAGATATAACAATGATAAATATATATGCACCCAACATAGGAGCCCCTCAATACATAAGGCAAATGCTAACAGCTATAAAAGAGAAAATAGACAGTAACACTGTAATAGTGGGGGACTTTAATGCCTCACTTACACCATTGGAAGATGAACCAGACAGAAAATTAATAAGGAAAGACAAGCTTTAAATGACACAACAGACCAAATACATTTCATTGATACTTAAAGGACATTCTATCTGAAAAATGGACTTAATTGATATTTATAGGACATTTCATCCAAAAACAACAGATTACACTTTCTTCTCAAATGCACATGGAACATTCTTCAGGATAGATCACATCTTGGGTCACAATTCAAGCCTCAGTACAGTTAAGAAAACTGAAATCATATCAAGCATCTTTTCTGACCACAACGCTATGAGATTAGAAATCAATTACAGGGGAAAAAAACGTAAAAAACACAAACACATGGAGGCTAAAGAATACGTTACTAAATAACCAAGAGATCATGAAAGGAATCAAAGAGAAAATCAAAAATTCCTAGAGACAAATGACAACAAAAACATGACAATCCAAAACATGTGGGATGCAGCAAAAACAGTTCTAAGAGGGAAGTTTAGAGCAATACAATCCTACCTCAAGAAACAAGAAAAATCTCTAATAAACAATCTAATCTTACACCTAAAGGAACTAGAGAAAGAAGAACAAACAAAACTGAAGTTAGCAGAAGGAAAGAAATCATAAAGATCAGAGGAGAAATAAATGAAATATAAATGAAGAAAACAATAGCAAAGATCAATAAAACTTAAAAGCTGGTTGTTTAAGAAGATGAACAAAATTGATAAACCTTTAGCCAGACTCATCAAGAAAAAGAGGGAGAGGACTGAAATCAATAAAATTAGAAATGAAAATGGAGACGTTAAAACAGACACCGCAGAAAAACAAAAGATCATAAGAGACTACTACAAGCAACTCTATGCCAAAGACACCTTGAAAATGGTAGTCATGAAAATGGAAAACCTTAAGAAATGGACAAATTCTTAGAAAGGTATAACCTTCCAAAACTGAACCAGGAAGAAATAGAAAATATGAACAGACCAATCACAAGTAATGAAATTGAAACTGTGATTAAAAATCTTCCAACAAACAAAAGTCCAGGACCAGACTGCTTTACAGGTGAGTACTATCAAACATTTAGAGAACAGCTAACACCCATCCTTCTCAAACTCTTCCAAAATATTGCAGAGGAAGGAACACTCCCAAACTCATTCTATGAGGCCACCATCACCCTGATACCAAAACCAGACAGGAATACTATAAAAAAGAAAATTACAGAACAATATCACTGATGAATATAGATGCAAAAATCCTCAACAAAATACTAGCAAACAGAATCCAACAACACATTAAAAGGGTCATAAACCATGATCATGTGAGATTTATCCTAGGGATGCAAGGATTCCTAAATATATGCAAATCAATCAATGTGATACACCACGTTAACAAATTGAAGAATGAAAACAATATGTTCATCTCAATAGATGCAGAAAAAGCTTTTGATAAAATTCCACACACATTTATGATAAAAACCCTCCAGAAAGTGGGCACAGAGGGAACCTACCTCAACATCATAAAGGCCATATACGACAAACCCACAGCAAACACCATTCTCAATGGTGAAAAACTGAAAGCATTTCCTCTAAGATCAAGAACAAGACAAGGATGTCCACTCTCGCCACTATTATCCAACATAGTTTTGGAAGTCTTAACCACAGCAGTCAGAGAAGAAAAAGAAATAAATGGAATACAAATTGGAAAAGAAGTAAAACTGTCACTGTTTGCAGATGACATGATACTTATACATAGATAATCCTAAAGATGCCACGAGAAAATGACTAGAGCTCACCAATGAACTGGTAAAGTTAAGGATACAAAATTAATGCATAGAAATCTCTTGCATTCCTATACACTAAGAACAAAAGATCAGAAAGAGAAATTAAGGAAACAATCCCATTCACCACTGCAACAAAAAGAATAAAATAACTAGGAGTAAACCTACCTAAGGAGGTAAAAGACCTGTACTCAGAAAACTATAAGA